TTCGGTATTAATCGAAATAGTCGACTTCCTTTGGACTGCGCTAAAAGAGTTATGGATGACGAAGCTTTTGAGAATTATCCATGGGGCGGGTTAGTTTTAAGAAAATGATTTTGTCCATCAAAGTTGCATCTTTAGGTGGAAATAGCTACACCTTCCATGGATGTGTGCATGTGTTTTTTATATGGGTTTATGATGTCATTGCATTTTACATACATTCCGCATGCTCATTAGGTAGTTTTTCATGCATTTGTATCATGTTTTAGGTTAGATTTGCATCACTTAGAGTCCTAGAGCATTCTTGCATCAGCATTTGCATTTTCTCTGCATTTTGCATCCATTCCAGGTTGTTTATGGTTGCTTTGGAGACACGGAGGTTCGTGGAGGTGTGGAGACCAATGTAGCGGTTCATGGAAGCTCGGGAAAATGCTAAGGACCAGTGATCGAGGAGCAGATCGAGCATGGCCGGTCGATCTAGGAGTTGATCGACCAGAAGATCGAGCCAACTAGGCGATCCAAGGATAATGATCGAGACGGAGATCGAGTGAAGCAGTCGATGCATCGGTACGGACGTAAATGACGCCATGCAGAGCGAGAGCCGGATCGAGTACACCACTCGATTCTCCCGGAGATCGATACCGAGATCGGATGCAACTCTCGATTCGCCGAAGGAGATCGAGACCCGGATCGAGCCGAAGACACGATGCCCGGATATGATCGAGAGACCAACTCGATCCAATGGTCGATCTCTGTCCTTTCAACTGTTTTTGGCTGTTAGCAACGGGGGGGACCATTGGACTGTTTTGGCAAAGGCGGCGACTACTTTTCGATAACTTTTGAGATTTTTACCTTCTCTCCCAGTTTTTAGTTTTTTTCTCTCTCGTTTTCATCGAAGAACACCATTGTAGAACAGTTTTAAGCTTTTGTATTTTCGAATCTTTATCGTTTTTAATCCAGTTTATCTTTCATGTTTATCGTTTCTTCTCTTCGTCTTTGCTTGATTTCCTTTATGTGTAGTGAGTAGTTCATTCAGGGTTAAGGGTTGAGAGTATTAAGGGGTAGAAGAGGTTCGATCTTGGTTTGTTTTCTAAACGTTTTAAATCTATCTCTTCTAAGGTGATGAAAGCTTAATGCTTGAAGACTCTCACGCCAAGAGCTTCACGATCCGAGAGGTACCTTACCTTGACAGGATCCAGGAACCTCAGAAGATCTCACCTTAGTGATTAGTTACCCCTTCCCAAAAGCCATGGTAGTTTGGGGGACTAGTTAAGCTATTGTTCGAAATCTGTTTTCCTTGCCTTCCAACCTCTTTTTCCACCAAAAGCCATGGGTTTGGAGGAGAGGATGAAAGAGTGATCTATACCAAAAGCCATGGATAGATCTTGTTTTGTTTTCGAGGCTTAGAGACCCTCACCAAGTGAGTCGATCTAAAGTTTCAAACCCAAGGTCAACCTTTGAAACCCCTTATATGAATCTCGACCCTGAAACCCTTCTCTTTAGCTTATTTACGTCGCATATCATCTTTTGCTTGTTGCTTGACAGCTTCCTGGTCTTTAGATTCCTTGTTCTTACGATTTTAGACGAGATCGATCGTTTCTGCTCGATCTAGTGGTCGATCTTGTGGTCGATCCACTAGTCGAATTTTAACAATTCGAAGCTCTTCCCTTTATTTTATCTGTTTGTTCCTCGTGGTAACTGCTTGCTTTCTAGTATTTTTAAAATAGGTTTCACTCTGTTTAGGTTGCTGCAATTAGTTTTCAAGAATTTCTCAACAAACTGTCTCATTTCACTTAGATTTGTCCTAGATCTTGCATTCTCTGTGGATTCTCTATCACCTAGAACTGGATTGACACTCTCTGCTTGCCTTACTACAACGTTGCATGCATTAGAGTTTTGATAAGTTCTCTGCTGCATTAGACCGTAAAGAAAACCGATTATCAGTTTATGAGCCGGTTCCAATATTAGGAGAAACATTTGGGAAACTTGAGAACAATCCGCTCACTTTACCGTGTCCTCTACTTCGGTGGTGTTCGTGTAGGGACATACACATTCTTGAGAAAGTTTTAGAGGAAGAAAGAACTAGAATCGATGAGAAGAAGGTATGTTTCCTTACAAATTTGGTATTTTGGTATAGTTATAGCCTCAGTTACGGTAGAAATAATTTGAGAATTATGCTTACGTTGGTAGATTTAATTTTCATTGGTGGTAGATTTGAATTAGTTGATGGTAGAGTTGATTTAGATTGATATTTGTTTGTTGTATTAGACATATTTACGTGGTGGTAGACTTTTTAGTATTAGTGATAGACGTATATATTTGGTAGACTTTTTATTATTAGTTGTGGTAGACATATCCCTGTATATTTTGTAGAATTTAGATTGAAGTGATTTTTCTCTACCTTTGTCTGCAGGTTAGGGTGAGACATCTAGTGGAGGTTCATCGAGAGGAAATATATCTGTTTTGGCCAGACGAGGAGTCAATGGCAGAGGTGGATCTGAAGCTTCACAATATGTTAATTGATATACTCGATGAACAGTTAGATGAGACGATGTGAGACAAGACCGTTGAGAATGATTCAAAGGAGAGGCAGAAGGACAAGGAGAAGAACAAGGAGAAGGAGAAGAAAAAGGGCAAGGAGAAGGAGAAGGAGAAGGAGAAAGGGAAGGAGAAGGAGAAGGAGAAGCAGAAGGGGAAGGAGAAGGAGAAAGTGAAGGAGAAGGTCAAGGAGAAGGTCAAGGAGAAGGTGAAAGAGAAAGAGAAGGAGAAGGAGGGTGAAGAGGAGAGCGTCCCTTATTTTAAAGGTACGCGTTTGAAGAAGCACAAGGGAGCAAGTGCTGAAAAGAGTATGTCCCCTATTGAGAGAAAGACTAAGTCTACCAAGGCTAAGAAGAAGGAGAAGAATGAGGAGAAGAAAAGGGCGAAGGAGATAGTGGAGGATGAGAGTTGTAAGGAAGTATCAGATAGTGAAATAAATTTGCCGGTTGGTAAATTTACTGATAAGGTTCGAAAGACGGGACAGGTTGTAGGAGTTTTGTAACATATTCGGGACCCTCACCTGTAGATTTTGCTGAACAGTATGATTTTTCTGGGTACAACTTCTCGAGAACATTTTTTCTACGTTTTCAAATAGGACACTTTATGATAGATTTACTTGACATCCAAGTTGTTGTGGTGGTAGATATATATAATCTGTTTTCATATTTGGGACTTGATGATAGATTTAATTATAGTCGGAGTATCAGTTGTGGTAGACATACATTTATTTTAGAACTGATTTACTTCTATCATACTCGCAGATGGAACCTACAGACGGATTCAGTCAAATACGAGATGTACTTGATGAGATCCTAGTGCGGGTGGGCCGAGTACCTGGGAAGGATGCTTGTCATGCAGCTTGTGCATCTAAGCTACTATCTGAATCACTAAAGCAACCATTTGTTATGCAAGCGATAAACCTTTCCGACTTTCTTTCAGACACTACCTTAGTGGAGTGTTTTTTCTCGGTTCTTCAATTTGGCTATCTCATCAGGCAATCCTCAGGCCTTATACCTACACGAGATGACTAAAATAGCTGTTGAGGGGGACATCGGAAATGTGGTCAAATTTTTCAACAAGGCTTTTAAAGCGGGGATAGACCATGCTACTTTAATGTCTGCTATATGTGCCATCGCATATGGTCTATAACACACGAGGACTAGAAATTCTAGACCGTATTCTAGGTTGGAGATCACGTATGGAATACATAATTCAGATTGGTGAAGAAGTCTTCAGAACGAAGAAGAGAACGAATAGCGAGAGCCGAGGCTTGTTGCCAAATGCATTTGGATATTATGATTTTCCAAGTTGCAAATTCTGACACTGAATTGCTAGCTGCGAGGAGTGCTACCTATTCATTCAGTACCAACTCTTCAAATTTGAATTCTGATAATAGTTGTCGCGTGTTGAAATATGCTATTTCATTCCATCTCTTAGTATTGCTCTCCTTATCTCTATGTATTTCTCTTACAAAACGTATAACTTATGCAGATGAAGATCTTCTACTTTTCTAATGTGATTGAATGGCTCTTCAACTTATTAATCACTCTTTTAATCACAAATATCTCTAATATGTAACACAAAACCATGAAATCACTATCGACATGTGCCATGAATAAAGATTAACAAAAAAAAATACCACACTTCATAGTATATGTACTTGGTAGATTTAAGTGTTGAGTTTTCAAAAGTCAACTATAAACCATCATCTTCAACATAAAAGAGTCTACGGTAACACTATAACGCTAAATCTACCGACAATGTTAGACTAGTAAAAAGATTAGCTTTACCATTACACAATCAATGAATTTCTACCGTAACTGCACATCACTTGACCATCATTATTTAAGTCTACTGTAAATAACTCTACCAGTACGGTGATATGAACTATCCGTAGTCTAACCAGGAAACAAATCTCCCAGTGAAGGAAATATATCTACCATTCGAACGATAAATCTACCGTTATAGCTGGTCAAAACAACATGAATAGTCAAACATCTACCGTCACATAGAACAAGTCTACCAAAATTAGATAACAAATCTATTAATGGTCTAACAAATCTTCTATCAAAAATGGAAATTCAATCGAAATCTACAGGTGTAAAACAAATTTTCCACGACGTGAAAATATATCTATCAAATTAAGTCATCAACAACAAATAAATCTACCACTCTCTCTCAATATTGACCAGATCCAATAAATCTACCGGCAAAGCTTAATATGATGTGGCAGGACTTAATGACATTTTCGAAAACTATTTTTTTGTCATCAAAAACTTCAAGAATAAAATTAATATGCTAGGTTATTCTAGTAATAAAAAAGACTTATATTATTCTAGTAAAAAACCTATTTTCCAATAGTATAGTAATCCTCCCATGATTATATTAGAACAATTACCCCAGGTTAATATAATGACTATATTAGAACAATTAGGTACATGAAAATATAATTTAATGAAAAACAAGTGTTTTAGATCGTCAAAGCTTCTTGCATCTCAATTTTTAGGAAGCATTTAAAAAAAAAAATCATTATATTCCAAACCAGTCTGTTTCGAATCTCATATATACTGCAATAGTGGCTTTTGGCAAAACTTTGTCTCAACGAACTGATTGGTGTAAAAGCCATAAAAGATTCTCTTGACTACAAAATATCAAGATGAAACCATTACAAAAACTCTCATCACATAATGTAGAATGCAACTAAAGACTGAAAAGATTGCAAAATTTGTTGGTTTTCTCACTGCAAGCAAAGATGAATCCATAATAACCTTGAAGAATACATGATTTCTACCTTCAATCCTCCGAATTTCCGCTCGAAAGAAAACTTAAAACTTGCTTTAGATTCCCTCTAGATGGTCTGGCATTGACAACGTATTTGCATATAAATATTAGCATCCGCCGCATTTCAATTTTTGTAATACTCTTTTTCTCAAAAGATTTTCCACCATCAAATTCCCCTGCAAATGACTCAATTGACTCAGCAACATGTGTTTTATGTTTGTGTTTCAAGGTTAAAAACACCATTATGTTTAATTTAAAACCAGAAAAAACTACAAATTGTCATTACCTTCTTCATTGAATAATGATACTAAGATGGCCAAACTTACACATACACTGATATCTTCCCCTATAATCACAATTACAATATATAATTAGAACAACAAAATTAGGTACAATCTACAATCATGTTTGAACTTACAACATTCAAAGAATACAAATACAAACTTACCATCTTGACAACAAATTAAGAGTTTCTTTCCCAAACTCATCTTCATCTTAGCAAAATCAACAGCGGAAGGAAGATTCTTTAATATGGAGAACCTATCAAATTTTGAACCCTAGAAAGCATACATTTTTTAACAATTATTTGTTTTGAATGAAAAAACTGTGAAAAAACTATTATTTGGTTTTTTTTCTTAAAGCATACCTTCATGGGGAGATGCAAATGCTCTTCATGATATGTTTGAGGGACTGAGATCGGATTTTGATCGCAATTTAATATGCAGTCGATAGATGTCACCTTACTAGCTGCACCACAAAAAAAGATTTGATGAGAGGCTGAATCAATTATTAAGCTTAACTAATGCAAAAGAAATAGATGATATTAGAAACTAAGCTCACCTACTTGTGATGCCCCAACAGCAAGATTAGTTGATGCTAACCAAGATACTAAGCTTTCTTCATCAACTTTTGGTTTTGGTACACTAAGAGATAAGATTTCATCACTCTTTGTGTGATTGATTCCACCAGAAGATTTTGAGCATTTGACAAGAACTTGAGGAGCTTCTTCACCCCTATGTGCTCGGTATACTCTATCGTTCTCAACAATCTCTGCAACTTTCTTGTTACACAAGTAAGGTTCCGAATCAATAAGATCGTCAACATGTGTCCAGAAAACATTCGGAGATAAACCTCTAGCCCAACTCTCTTCATCGTCACCAGCCCCTGGAATATAGCTCGAACTAAATTCTGAATTGGTCCTATATTGTTGAATTTCACCAGAAGCAGAACCTGAGACAAGGATGAGAGGGATGAAATCCCACGAATCATGCTCAGGTACTTCATTCAACCATATGACCGTTTTCTGCGAAACCCAAAGAGGACGTAAAGGTTTTCTCAAACATGAAGCAAGAGAGGCTATATCAGCTCCACTCTCATCTAATTGTCTTGTCCATTCATCTAACCGAGCTTCAATACAGGCTTTCTCAGTCTTGGAAACCCATAGTGGAAGATGTAAACCACAATCCCATTTATCTAACAATTCTCGTATGTTATCACCATTGAAACCCTATTCAAGAAAATAAGAAGAAAAGATTGTAAAAACAAAGAATTTGTTTCTCAAAAGACAAAGAAAAAACAACTTCTATAACCAATTATTCTCTTCACATCTACCAATATACACAATAGACATTCGTAACTCACTGCATCAATGAGCTGATCAGTGTTAGATAATTTCTTCAAGTGATTAAATATCGAGCGATTCAATACACATGACCATATGGGTATGGTTTTGGACATGCTATCCGGAAAGCGCTTTCCTTTACGAGTAGAATCAATAATGATACAACCTCCTTTTTCTCCTATTCATCGGAAAAAAAACTTCTCAAGTTTATAATCATGATCTGAGTATTTATTTAAGCAAAAACGTAGACTATGCGTTTCTGCGTTTCTTTTCTTCTATTCATCAGATTTTTTTATTGATAAAATTACTTGTGTATAAGCACGCAATTCCGTTATTAACAATTGTTACCAATCATAACCTATATAAAAAATTGGAAAAGGTCGAAAAGATGGATTATATATATACCAGCGAGAAGAGGAAGATGGAGATTGAGACGTGAAGTGTTGAAGGACAAGTTGTTGGTATGACCATCGGTGGATTTGAAGTAGCAAGTGGCGTCGAATCTTGGAGAGTACCAAAGACCACAACGAAGGTTTGCGACGAGAGGAAGTTTCGGCCATAGCTGCGAGATCTCGTTCACGAAGATGGAGTCTTGGTAGATTGATCGAAGAGCGTTGTAGAGACTGTTGTCTCTTCGCTTTATACTCCTCGCAGCTCTGTAAATACTATCTCTTGTCGTCCTCGGCTCTTCCGCCATTGTTTTTCTACACCAAAAACACAAACCCCTGATTCTTTAATTCTGTTAACAAAAGTTTATATAAAGGATATCTGAAAAAGAAATTTAAATTTACTTTAATCCTTCGCTTTCCTGCCCTAACTTGAAACTCATACAACCACCACGCCTACATAAGCTAAAAAGGAAACAACAAGAGCGAGTTGTGGGCTGGTTATTGGGCTTTCGGAAGAAAAGGAATTTGGAAAATGTAGCGGTCGGAATATCGAGTTCGGCGGAATTGCATTTGGAACTGCTTTTTGAAACTGCGATCAGAACTGAGTTTTCTGGATTTTTGGTTTTTGACAGAGCATCATTTCTATGGCAAAACGAAACGCAAATATCTAGTGGGTTACCTTCAAACGAATCAACGTCACTTCCTATATAGATTCTTCGCAGCAAGACCTCTCCAGAGATACCTTGATCTCATTCTAAGTCATCCTAGTTCGCTGGAAAAATAAACAAATTTGAGACTGATTTCCGCTCAACTTCAAGATCCTAGTTTAGCTTTGATTGGTGAACCGTTAAATTCAGTGGATTCGTGGCAGTGAGAGCTTTCCAGAGACACCAAGATCGCAATCTAACTCTCCCTAGTTCTTTGGGAGAGGGATTCACAAATCACAAAACGCCTCCGCGAAACTGGAAACAGTTTTGAAACCAAATCTTAGCTTTGAACAGATTCGCCACATCAGAATGAAATAGCGATAACACACGGAATATACCTCCAAATCGACCAAGCTCGGTTGTTCTTAAACCCTGGGAGAAATCTCTTTCAAATGGTACCAAAATCACGATCTTCGTCGTTCTGATTCTACCGGAAACTGGCCGCAAAGTGGCTGGTCGCAGATATTCTTGACGGCGGAGGCTGAAGCAATCTTATTCCTTTGTACTTTCGGTTTTAAGACAAATGGCAGAGGAAAGGCGGCGCAGCGAAGTCATAGAACAGAGGAAGAATGTATGTTAAGTGAACCAAACTATAAACCAAATATATTCAGGTTATTTTTTCGGTCGATATAAGAAAAAGAAAACAGTTGGTTTATACATAAATTTCGGTTGGATATTTGGTTATATGGTACGGTTTTGCACCACCTTAAAGTAAATGAATATACATAAGTAGTTTGATAATTAAGTAAATGGTAATAGATAACTAAAAATTAGATAAATTAGGTAATAATCTGCACCCTGTACGACATGAAATAATAATTATTAATTTAGATTTAATATAATTTTAAAAACATATAATATAATATAATTAATTTTTTATAAATTTTATATAATATTATACTATAACATTGACAATATGTTTTTTTCGTTTTTTATAAAATACAAGATAATTTAACAGTAATGTAAAATTTATTTAAAAATTAAATAGCATGCATCCTTGGGAAGAAATACGAAGTTATCTTACTGATTTTCTATATCCAGTGATTGATGTTATAATTATTATTTTCACCAATGTCTAAGATTTAGATATACAATACATATGTATATATTTAATTATTTTTGACTCTTAGATAATTAAATATTATTAGTTAAGTAATTTGTTACTTATCTATTAAATATTATTAGTTAAATAAATTAATAAATTTTTCTAGTCTCAAAACGGACTTGTTCAAAACAAGATACAAATCGATAAGATAATATTTTTTTAGAAAAATCTATATAAATATATGGTTCCATTAATATCATAAATTAATAATTACCATAAAATAATCTTATATAAATATATAACTATGATAATTTACTAAACTATGAATATATAATGGTTTGTTTTCCTTAAAAATGAAATAATATTATAGTTTATCTACAATTTAAAGTGAAATATTAAAAGATATCTTTAACTTTTAAGACAAATATAATTTTTAATAAATAATTTATTTAATTCCAAACCGATAAATTTATAATTCTATAAATTAATAAAATATTGAAATCACAATACTGTCAATTTATAGAAGTTTTACAGTAATTAAATTGATTGATTTAAAGCCGACAAACTAAAAAAAAAAAACATGAACAAATCTTGCTGAAAATTTGATACTATATGTGATAAATCAAACATTAATTAAAAAATAAACATAATATTGGTATTATTATGTTATGATCTCTTACCAAAAAAAAATAAGCAATAATACTACATACCATATTTCTCATCTAGGAGTCATATATAAATTAAACCATAATACAATATATCATATTTTGTTATATAGTAAATCTGAATATTAATAATATATATCATAATAATTTTGAAAATTCATCATTATAACATTTTTCTTTTTAATTGATGTTTGTGACGAAAATAACATATATTTTTAATAATATATTTTTTATATATTATTATGAATTGTTAAAATATATACACTTAAAAATATTTAGATTGAAGTATTATATATGTTTTCACAATTATTTTTATGCATGTTATAGTTACAATAATATGTGAATAAAATCATTATAATTTTCTTTTATTTGTTCTGATTGATTTTTTAGAAAAATAAAATATTATTTTAATTATTCTATTATATTTATAAGAATATTTTTAATAAAAAATTAACAAACATATTTTCTAATAAAAATAGTAAACATTAGTAAAGTGTTATATATTATGTTATGAATTTGAGGAATATAAAATATTATTTTTAATTTTTCAGTTGTTTTTATAAAAATATTTTTTTATGAATAATCAATAAACATATTTTTTAAAGTAGTAAACATTAAAAAGTATTATATATTTTACTATGAATGATAAAAATAATAAACATTAGAAGTATTATATATTTTACTATGAATTTATTATTTTTAAAATTTTATATAATGAATTTCGTGTATATTATAATTAGCATTAAACAAAATTTATTTTATTAAATTATTAGTTTTAGTATTATTGCTTTTGAATTCATTTAAAAAAAACATAACATATTTATTAGGAGTGGGCAAAAAAACCGAACCAAAGTGAACCAACCTGAACCAACCGAACCCGAACCGAGTCAAACCAAATCAAAGTCTATATCAAAATATTTCGGTTCAGATTTCTGTCAACCCGAATGGTTCGGTTCAGTTTAAAACCTAACCGAACTGAAACCCAATGTGTTTTTTTAATTATTAATTTATTAATAATTAATGATATTAATTATCTTTAACAATTAACAGTTTAGCATAATTATTTAAATACTGTCTTTGATTCTCAAATCTTAAAAGAAAAAAACCTAAAACTCATGTTATATTTAAGCACCTAGATTTCATTCATAAAGAAAACCGAAGTTCTTTCATCTATTTCCTACTTGATTTTTCATAGTTTCAAAGTAATAAGTTTTTAATTTTGATATTGATGTTACATTATGTTTATATAAGGTTTTGTTTTCCAATCTGTTAACCGAATTAAATGAATCCAAATTAACTATAACCGAATTGTGTTTAAACCGAACCGAACCGAACTGAATCTGAACCGAATTAAATTTGGTTGAGTTTGGTTAGAGTTTTAGTAAAACCAAACTAACCAAACCGAACCGAACCGAACCGAACCGAACCTGAAAATAAACCGGAATGCCCACTCCTAATATTTATGGACTTAAAATATATAGTGGCATATCATGTAATTAGTTTAATAATATAAGCCTTTTAAAAAAATTAGGTGAGAATGAATGTGTGGTTGACACATCAGCATAATGACACTACTGTAAATGCTTACAAAAATGAGGTTACTCTTTAAAAATGCTTCTCAATTAATATACATAAGATAATAAAGATAAATGAATCTTAATATCAAAATTTTCTTGTTATTTAGTTTAATTAAAGAAGGTCATTCGTCTAAATATTCTGTTAATAATATAAAATCTCTAATTTTTAACATTTGTTTAGCTTGTTAAACCATATAGCATACTAGGAGAAGGCTTGAGCATTGCGCATAATATTTAAAGTAAATATTATAGGTAAATATTAATTTTTAATTTGTTAATACATTCTTTTTAAAATAAATTGTATAAAAAATAAGCAAAGTTAGAATATCTAAAAAAAATGAGACTTGATTCTCTTATACTCGATATAGTAAAATTTCTATTAGTGTTTAGTGTGAAATCGATTTATCTTTCCCCATAATGAATACTGAAAATGTAGCATTGTCTGTAAGAGAAACTTCTTTTACAGTGTGTCTGCTAAGTTTATTTGGCTCATAATTTTAGAAAAACTAGTTGTATTTGCTAAAGGACTCTGAGAATATTTGAGTCTTGAGTGGTGGTGTGATTGAGTGATGGTGTGAAGTAACAGTTGCTTCTATGGGGGCGTTGATATAAATACTATATGTAGTTAATTATTGTAAATAAACTAATTAGTTAAACCTGATTTTGTTTATTGGCGACTTATGTGTTTTGTTGTCTATTTCGTCTTCTGTGCTTTTTCTAAAGGCAATTGGCGTTATGGCCTCGTTTGTTTAAATTGGATTCATTATATAATACATTAAGAGTAATCTGGTTCTAAATTTCTTTTTATTTGGCTTTTATGATTTTACTTATGACATTTTCGTAAATATATAAGTAATTTGTTTCAGATATGTTGTATACAACAGTTCATTAATTCTAATAAAACAGATTTGAATGAAATTAGAATAACTGAAAGTGAAGCTTTCTAATTATTCACTTTGCCTCCGTTTACTCGATCATGTGGCCTAATTGATACCGTGTAAATGTGCCATTATTCTTTTCTGTAATGTATTATAGCCTATTTGAAAAATGAATTGAGCTTGTGAGTAGAAAAATAATAAGAGAATGGTAGGAAGATCATTTGAATGCAAAGTGCTGTTGACTAAAGTATCTCATCAAAGAGGAATGTCATCTCACTTTCATAACTAATCCATAAGAAATCTCAAATTGAAAACAGAATATATGAGTAGAGGAAGATTAAGTGTTCAACGAACCCCTTAGTAGCAAAGTGGTCGCGGTCATCCACTTTGAAGATCACCTGATATAATTCCTCAAACGCTTCTCCAAATGTAAGAGGAGTAAGGTATGAAATATTTCCAACTCCTTTGGTGCCATCTGAAGGTAACTTTGTAACCATAAAACAATGAAGAACAGACAAAGCTGATTAACAAACCAGTTGCTGCTCATCGCAAAAGAGTAATTTACTTACAGAAGATGAGCAGACTTTCAAAGCATGAGTCGAACCTGATGTGATTGCTCAAGCTGAACCAGTCTTATCCCATTTTTCCCAGTATATTTTGTCAATGAAAAAGTCAATCAAGACCTCTGGTATACAATCCTCAAAGAATCAAACCATTAACACTATCATAGGTAAACAAATTCATACTCATGTTGGATAACTGAAAATCTCCACAGCAGGATAAAGCATGTTAGTCATTTTGGTTTGCAACACTTAATAGTGTAGCCGACACGCAAGGACTGCTCCAATTCTTTATCAGAAACATATTCTGCAAAATAAAAAATATGTTTTATAAATGATGGATAAATAATCACAGAGTTAAAAATACAAAGCACAAGAGAAAACATCAACATGAGTTCTTGAAAGGGACAAATTAAAGAAATGCCAAAACGAGATATCCTTTGAACGATCTAAACTCAATTAAGAAGAAAACAAACCAAGATTTCTGAACAATAACACAAATGCAGATATAAGTAGTAGGGAGAAAACACAACAACTTACAGGGACAAAAAAATTAAAATTCTTTGTAAAAGATTCAAAGGAAATTCAATTGGATTGGTATCACCTTACCATTAAAGCTTTTCATTGCCTTTCAGGCATCATCCTCAAAGTAGAAAGTGACGATGCCGCACACTTTGACTTGTTGCGTTTCAGGTGGTGGAGCTCTGTATCGCCGATCGTGCAGTTCTTCCTGCGGAGAATTCTCTCGGTGGTTCAATTCACAAAAACTATGATCTTCGCCTCAGTCACCGTCTCCACGTTGTCGACAAGGTTCAGATCCCCGAAAATTTCATAAAATCTCCAAATAGGATCTTGATTGAAAAACTGGATCTGAAAATTTATGTCTATGAAGGGGGAAGCTCAGTCAGAGGATGAACCCTCATAGCATCCCCATGAATCTCACTCCCAAAGCCG